TCTCACCTGCCTTCCGTCTTCTGGATCCTGGTCCCATGAATACTTCTGGCTTTGCAAGCTGTCCAATGCCTTCAAAGATTTTAAAAATATTTAAGATATATTAAATATCTCCTCTAGGTGTTCATAGTAGGAAGGTTGGGTAAAACGTTCTGGCCACCCATATGCAGAAATGCCTGCTCCTGGTTTATGGTCAAGGCTGGTGTGTGTGTCCCTACCCAGTGGGTGACAGCAAGCTTCCAGCTGTGACTTGGCAGTTAAGCCCAGAAAAGCTCTGGGATGATGATGAAGAGGTGGTAAAGGGCTTAGACATTGGAATAGGCCTGATTAGACTGCCCCTGACTGGCCATGTGACTGGGAACTTCAGCTTCATCGTCCAGAAATGGGCATGATCCTATGAGGATTAAGCAAGTTGTTACTTAGTAGGGTGTGTATGGTGTGTTGGGTGTTACCTAAGTACAAAGTGAAGAACAGACATTCAAGTGTGCATTCCTTGGTGTGCCAAGGCCATTTTCCCTTGTGCCAGTACTTTAGGGTAAAGTTTAATGCATGTTTCCACAAGGCAGAAGCACATGAACTAATGGATGTGACTTAGGAGATCAGAATCAGCCTTTATTATTTAAAAAAAAAATTTAGAGAGAGATAGAGTGTATGTGCAAGCACAAGGAGGGGGAGGGGCAGCGGTAGAGGGAGAGAACTTAAAGCAGGCTTCTTGCCCAAGCACGGAGCCCCATGTGGGGCTTGATCCCACAACCCTGAGACCATGACCTGAGCTGAAACCAACAGTCCGACTCTTAGCTGACTGAGCCACCCAAGCGTCCCGAGAATGACTTGCACATTTAAGAGGATGTGCCAAATGTTGGCCAGAATGCGGAAGGACTGGGGCCATCATAGGGTGTTGGCGGAAATGTAAAACGGGATGACGACTTTGAAAAACAGCATCTGCGTCTCCAAAAGTTATATATGCAGACACCGTGTAATGCAGCCGTTTCGCTTCTAAAGAAAAGAGAGCATATTTCCGTCTGAGGCTTGTGCACGACAGTCGTGGTTGCTGTATACTTGCAACATCTGCAACCAGGGAGCCAGCCGAGTGCGGCTGTGGGACCAGAAAGACTAGCTGCGGCACTCCCTGCACAGGCGGTACTCCAAGGTCAAAAGGGATGAGCTTGCTCACTCAGAATGAAGCTCAAACTAACCGATTCTAATTGATCATGCTCGGTGAAAGATGTCGGACAAAACACAGCACGCACTCTAATTCCATTTATGTGAATTTCTAACCGATGGTGGCAGAAGGCAGATCCAGGGTTTCCTGGGAACAGGAGCAGGGGCCGGACCTGACAGGTGGAGGGATGAGGAGGGAGCGCGAGGACACTGGGGAGTGACGGATAGGTTCACTGTCTTAATTGTAACGATATTTTAGTAATATGTACACATGTCAAACCCTAAAAACGGTCTGTGCAAACAGCTGTGATTTGTTTTACGACAGCTATATTTCAATAAAGCTGAGGTTTTTTAGAAGAAAGAAATCCAAATTTAAGGCAAGTAATTTATGCGTTTTGGCATCTATGGAGAAAAAAAGAGGCAACAAGCTTCATAGCTGGCGCAGGGTGTGCGATTCACATCAGACTTTTTAAAAGGTTAATGCTACCAGAAAACCAAGCCACATCGAGTAACTTTTTTAAATAAAAGAAGGAAACATGGGGGGGCCTGGGTGGCACAGTCGGTTGAGCATCTGACTCTTGGTTTCAGCTCTGGTCGTGATCTCAAGGTTGTGAGAACGAGCCTTGAGCTGGGCTCCGTGCTCAGTGCCGAGTCTGCTTGAGATTTTCTCTCCCTCCCACTCGGCCCCTCCCACTCATCTTCTCTGTCTCTGAAATAAATAGATATTTTAAAAAAGAAAGCGGGAACATAATTCACCAGGAAGGGAACAGCAGCAGATGGGCGTGATCGACCCCAAGACGCAGGAAAGCATGTGGACGACGGCGTCAGGTGCGGCAGAGAAACAACAGGCTGCTCTCTAGCCTGTGGAGGGTAGGACAAGAAGAGCGGTGCTGATGTCCTTTGCAGAAAGCCCACAGGTCTCGTGCACTGGAGCGCCAAGCATCTGAAAGTGACTTCGAGGGATGGGACTGCCGATAGTTTGGGTGAGACGGTGGGCAAGGAGAAATGCTGAGACAGCCTCCCTTTGTCGCCCAAGCCAGGCCTCTGCTGCTCCTCCGTGTCAGCAGAAGACGAGGCTCATGGGTCTGGACAAATGGGGGTAGCCTGCTCTGACTTTGGGGCGGCAGACATGACCGATGGTCCGGATATCACTGACAATGCTGGGGACTGACCTAACCTGCCTGTTCTGAATAGTGGAGTGCCCAGCGCCCCTCTTATGTGTGCAAGAAGGGAGGGGGCAGGGGGATGGGTGAGCCTGGTGATGGGTATTGAGGAGGGCATGGATTGCATGGAGAAATGGGTGTTATACGCAAACAATGAATCATGGAACACTGCATCAAAAATTAATGATGTACTGTATGGGGACTAACATCACATAATACAATAAAATAAAATAAAAATAATCCTAAGGAAGAGGAAATACAAAAAAAAAAAGAAATTAAAAAATGTGTAAGTACATAGATAGAAGTGTTTTCAAGAGAAATAGACCAGAAATTGGAAGAGAGAATATTCTAAAAGATTGTGAAGATAGAGAGCTGTGTAGAAGGTCCCACTGACCGTGATTGGAAGTTCTCAAAAGTAGAGATGATGCAGGGTTTGGAATGATTGAAGAAATGACCCAAGAATATTTCCCAAAATGTTTATGTTTTGTGTTCATTTGCCATCTGTGTGTGTTCTTTGGAAATATACCTACCCAGGTCATCTGCCCATTTTTTTTTAAGAGAAATTAAATTCACTTTATTTAAAAAAATTATTTTTAACATCTTAATTTTATTTTTTTTTTCAGTGTTCCAATATACATTGTTTATGCACCACACCTAGTGCTCCATGCAATCTGTGTCCTCCTCAATACCCACCACCAGGCTCATCCATTCTCCACCCCCTTCCCCTCCAAAACCCTCAGTTAGTTCCTCAGAGTCCACAACCTCTCATGGTTCATCTCCCCCTCCGATTTCCCCCAACTCCCTTCTCCTCTCCATCTCCCCATGTCCTCCATGTTATTCCTTATGCTCCACAATTGAAACCATATGATAATTGACTCTCTCTGCTTGACTTATTTCACTCAGCATAATCTCCTCCAGTCCCGTCCATGTTGATACAAAAGTTGGGTATTCATCCTTTCTGATGGAGGCATCATACTCCATAGTGTATATGGACCACATCTTCCTTATCCATTCGTCTGTTGAAAGGCATCTTGGCTCTTTCCACAGTTTGGTGACGGTGGCCATTGCTGCTATGAACAGCGGGGGACATTTTTAAAAATCAGATTGTTGTTGTTGTTGTTGAGTTGAATGAGTTCTTTACTTATTTTGGATGTTTGCTCCTTATTGGAAGTATGAATTGCAAATATCTTCTCCCGGTCAGCAGGTTGCCTTTTAGTTTTGTTAAAGATGTTTTCTTCACTGTGCAAAAAGCATTTTAGTTTGATGGAGTCCTGATAGTCTATTTTTGATTTTGTTGCCCTTCCCTGAGGAGATAGATCCAAAAAAATATTGCTAGGTCTGATGTCTAAGAGTTTACTGCCTATGTTTTCTGTGAGGAGTTTTATGGGTTCAGGTTTCACATTAGATCTTCATTGTATTTCGAGTTTATTTCTGTGGATGGTGTAAGAAAGTGGTCCAGTTCTCCCAACACCATTTGTTCAGACTGTCTTTTACCAGTTGAGCATTCTTGCCTCCTTCGTTATAGATTACTTCACCATATAACTGTAGGTTTATTTTCTGAGGCCTCTGTTCTGTTGCATTGATCTATGTGTCTGTCTGTTTTTGTGCCAGTGCCATCTTATTCTGGGTTAGTTTAGATTTCTTATGTTTTTATCCTAACTATGGGTCACATTTTCTTGCTTCTTTGCATGCCCAGTAATTTTTTATTAGATGACAAACATTATGATTTTACCTTTGTTTTGTGGTTGTTTTGTTTTCTAATGTTCTTTTTTTATTTTTAAGATTTCATTTATTTATTTGAGTGAGAGAGAGAACAAATCAAGGGCATCAGCAGGAGAAGCAGACTCTCTGCTGAGTGGGGACCTCGACATGGGGCTCGATCCCAGGACTCTGAGATCATGACCTGAGCCAAAGGCTGACATTTAACCAACTGAGCCACCCATGTGCCCCTGTTTTTCATGTTCTTGAAAAGAGTTTGATCCTTTAGGATCTGGCTTTTAAGGTTTGCTAGGCAGGACTGGGATGGTATTCGGTGTGGTTGCAAATATGCCCCAGGACTGAGGCAAGACCCATTTTACATCTTGTACTCACTGTCTAATGAGAACTGTGGATTGTTCCAGTCTGGCTGATGGAAACAGAATTTGTTCCTGGCCCACGTGACTGACCACTGGACACTTTTCTTGAATCTTTTTGGGTGGATCTTTCCCTGGTCTCAGGGGGTTTCTTCACCAGCATGCACTGATTTATCCTCAGCTGAATACTTGAAGGAGGCATACAGAAAGTGCTCCGTCTGTGCAGCTCTCTCCTTGGAGTCTGTTCTGTGTGTCTGTGCAGTCTTTTGTACTCCAACCTTCATCCCATCTACTCAAGGTGCCTACTAGCTCCACTTGGTTCCACCTCCTGGGTCAGTCCTGGGATACTTTCTTTAAGGCAACAGACGGGATAATCATGGGTCTCACCTTAATTACCTCCTGTTTTCTGTGGATCACTCTCTATACTGCTTGATGGCCAGTGGCAGTTGACCTTGGCCAGATGCAGAAGCCAAATCACAAGGATTTCTAATCCTTCTTTGTTTTATTTTCAACCAGATTAAGAAAACCACTAAAGCGTTCTTCCCTTTGGTAGATTTGACTGTTGTGTCCAACTTGAAATCAATACATGACATGCCTTTCTGTTTAGATTTCTCTGAGGAATCTCCTTGTTATGAAGAAAACATGGATTGGGAAGCCATCACTGATAATTATTTCACATTTTTGGGTAATTTACTCAAGTCTCCAGCTGCTTCCATCTCCAGGTAAGTTTTCAAAATTCAACTTCCAGGTTTTGATTTAACTATTATCTGAGACAAGCAAAACCTATTTATAGGAAATGTCTGCTTTATTTATTTATGTAATTATTATTATTTTTTAAGAGAGTTTGAGAGAGAGGGTGAGCGGGGGTGGGGGAAGGGAGAGGGAGAGAGAGAATCTCAAGCAGTCTCCATGTCCTGCGTGAAACCCCATGTGGGGCTCGATCTCACAACCCTGAGATCATGACCCGAGCCGAAATCAAGAGTGGGATGCTCAACCCACTGAGCCACCCAGGTGCCTCAGGAAACACTTGCTTTAAAATGTGAACTCCTGATGTGACTGTGGATGCCATATTTCATATTAGGCATTCGATATTATTTGCCCCATAGCATTTATGACTCCTGTTTCCATGGATTTTGAAAAGAAACACAAATGATAGTTGTAAGATTTTCCTTCAAAAGCATGATTTATAATAGATGCTCCAAAAATGGATTGGTTGGATAATAGTCTCATCCAGTTGTGTACTTTAGACACGGGATCCGTGACTGAAGATTCTGGGAGCTCTGGGGACTTTTGGGAGAGAAGTGAGCTTTGGAACTAAATCGCCAGTTTATATGCTGCTCATGCATTCAGACAGAAATTCTCATGTATAATTACGGAGATGGTATACAGCTTCTTTCTTTAATTTTTTAATACATGAGCTTCCCACTTTATTTATTTATTATTATCTTTGAAGGCAAGTTCTACACCCAGTGTGGGGGTTGAACTCACAACCCTGAGATCCAGAGTCGTATGCTCCCCCGGCTGTGCCAGCCACGCGCCCTGGATATCCCGGGGGTTTAATATTTATTCATTTATTTATTTCAGAGAGTTGGGGGGTCAGAGGGAGAGGGACAGAGAGCCTTAAGCAGGCTTTGCAGTGAGCGTGGAGCCTGACATGGAGCTCAGTCCCACGACCCTGAGATCATGACCTGAGCAGAAACCAAGAGTCAGACGGGTAACCGACTGGGCCATGCAGGTCCCCTGTATGTGGTTTAAAGGACACTTTATTTATTGCTTCTGGGGTGTGTTGACAGAAGCTTTGCATTAGGACATAGCTTTTAAATTTGGGAACGGATCAAACTTATCTGTGAAGTTTGTTAAGAATACAAATTCCTGGGACACCTGGGTGGCTCAGTCAGTTAAGCATCTGCCTTCGGCTCAGGTCATGATCCCAGGGTCCTGGGGTCGAGTCCTGCATCGGGCTCCTTGCTCCGCCGGGGAGCCTGCTTCTTCCTCTGCCTGCTGCTCTCCCTGCTTGTGCTCTCTCTCCTCCCAACAAATATATAAATAAAATTAAAAAAAAAAAAGAATACAAATTCCTGGAGCCTGCCCCAGATATGCTAAACCTTGGCTGTGTGGAGGACCCGGCTTTCTGTAGATTTAAGGAATTCTGCACGTGGTTCTGGTGCACACCAAAGTTCCAAAGCTATTCAGCAAAAGAAAAACTCTGGGCCATGTCCTGTTCCAGCCATATAATAGCTGCGTGAATCTGCTAATTTAAAAAAAAAATTCTATATATTAAAATTGTATTTCTATATATTATAGAAAATTTTCTATATATTAAAATTGTATATGTATTAAATTTCTATGTATTAAAATTTTATATATGTATATATATGTTTATATGTGTGTGTGTGTGTGTGTGTGTGTGTGTGTGTGTGTGTATATATGAAATATTTCTTTTTCCATGACTTGGAGATACTGGTGTATATCCCAACAGGCTTCTGTAGGACTGAACTACAACTGTAGTTAGGAAAGTGCCTTACAAACTGTAAAGTGATGTAGCGATGTGGAGCTGTACTTCTACCAGTGGTTCTAGTTACTTCTACTGCAGCCCTTGCTCACACTGCTCTTTTTTTTTTTAATTTTATTTATTTACTTGAGAGAGAGAGGAGTTTGAGAAAACGAGTGGGAGGAGGAGCAGAGGGGGAAGCAGGCTCCCCACACCTGAGAGCCCAACACAGGGCTCGATCCCAGGACCCTAAGATCATGACCTGAGCTGAAGGCAGAGGCTTAACCCACTGAACCACCCAGGCACCCCAGCTGTGTATGTATCTCTATGCAAGGCTGGACTTGAACAAGATCCGTATGGAATTCCTAATAGCACAGCTTTCTTGTTCTTGCTAGAGAAGTTCCCTGGAGAATGTTCTCAGTGTTTCCTGGTTCAAAGTCGCCACTGTCTTGCAAATAAGAGTAAATTAAATGATGGCGTGCCTCTTCCTTGAGCGTGTGTATTCTCTCTCTCTCTCTCTCTCTCTCTCGCTTTCTCACTTAAATAAATAAAATCTTAAAAGAAAGAAAGTAAACTAAATGAAGACTGTACCTTCTGCTCCCAGATCCCAGCTATTAGATGGGAGAAAGCAATATTCATCATTTCATCTCTTCTGTGTCTGTCCCGTGTCAAGACTGTGCCTTAGCCGACAGGATTATAGAGTGAAAGAGGTTTAGGAAGGAATTCAGCCTTGAAGGTATTAGTAGCCAATACAGGTGAAAATCCTTATCCACAATTTTTCAATGTGTCTTTCAAAGTCTGGACATGGAGGCTTTTCTTACGGGGGTCTCACAGCTCCTTCCACAGAGACCCCAACACGGTCCGCCCATCTCAGGTCTCACTGCCAGGAGGGTTCATGAGTTGGGGGTCTGCCCCAGTCCCCACGGGTGGAGGGGGCATTAATACATACCTGATACGTGAACCATGTCATCTTTTTACATTTTTTAAAATATTTTACTTCTTTTTACTTAGAGCAAGAGAGCAAGCATGAGCGGGAGAGGGGCAGAGGGAGAAGGAGAGGGAGATACTCTCTGGCAGACTCTAGGCTGAGTGTGGAGCCCCATGTGGGGCTTGGTCTCACGACCCTGAGATTGTGACCACGGCCAAAATCAAGAGTCAGACTCTCAACCGACTGAGCCACCCAGGTGCCCGCCCCCCCACCATGTTGTCTTTCTAAACTCAAGCACATAGGTCCCCAAGGATTTAAAGAGTGGACTGGTGACTCCCGAGTTAGTGGAAGTTAGTAGACTTCTCCACATGTGGACCTCTGTTATGAGTGTGGACTTGTCGGAACCCCTGATGTGCTCCTTTGAGAACTGTGTGCATTTTACAAGTAGGCACCTGGAGAGAAAGCACATTATCTAAAATCATGAGTTTCTGGGCACTTGAGGGGCTCAGTTAGTTAAGCATCTGCCTTCCGCTCAGGTCATGATCTCAGGGTCCTGGGAGGGAGCCCCACACTCGGCTCTCTGCTCAGCGGGGTGTCTGCTTCTCCCTCTCCCTATACCCCTCTCCGTACTCTAACCAAGACATTCTGAGACACAACAAGGAATCGAATCCTCAGATTCTTCTGACATATGTAGCAAACTTACCTTTAATGATCCTTCGTATGAAATCATGGAGTAAAATAATTTAAAATGCATTGTTTTTGGTGCAGGAGGCAGATTTTAAGCTACGTATAGGCATCTGCATTGTGACTTTCTAAAACACTTTGGAATACTCACAACGATTCAATTCCAGTTGTGAAATATACTGTGTAGCAAACAGTCCATTTATGTTTTCCTCTAAATACGCGTATTACTTTGAAAATTTGATACACTGAATTTGTCTTGAATTTATTTATCTATTTATTTGGATACTAAGACAATTCCATTAACATTGTAGAGTCTTGAATTCCACAAAGGAACTTCTCATGATGGAAAAGAAGTTGCATTCCCTCGAGGATGAGGAAATAAACTTTTTTTTATCTTTTGTGAGATTTTTGGAGGAATTATTGCCTGATCCTTTCGACTCACCCAGCGTGCCCAAATTCCATGACCTCCCATCTCTCAGTGAGACTCTTCTGAACACAAGCCAGTTGTGGGTCAACCATTCAAGAAGTTTAGAGAGCGACACATCTGCTATTGCTACTCAGAAACTTTTGGAATTTGGCAAAGTGGTGATCGACAAAATAGGGTCTCTTGAAAGTCTCTGGATAAAGAACGAATCAGATAATATTTTGAGGTTCATGGAATTAGTACTTTTTGAAATTGATCCCAAGCTCCTGGAATTGTGGATGTATGGCATTTCAAAAGAAGAAAGAGTCAGGCTGGAAACTGTGTCTACACTTCTTAATTTTTCAGTCACAGAAGATGAGAGGGTTCTTACCAAGAGCCTTAACTTTTCCCAGTTGTTCCAGTCAGACTGGCCACGATTGCCAGCTATGGAAATGGACTTTGTACATTTGAGTGAAACTGTGATAAGCAGTCTCTATGAGCTCGGATTTCTGAAGGAAGGACAAGTATTTGAAGCTCTAGACACAGTCTACGCTATAAGGAATGCGTCTGAACTTTTCTCAGCCCTTTCTGAGCCCGAAAGACGAGCCGTGGACACGGTCTTGACTAAGATATATCTAGACATCTTCCAGGACAACGATTCAGCTTTGCTTCTGAAGATTTATGCTTCATGTTTTGAATGTATTTATAAACTCTTGAGCATTCCAAGTACAGAGGCTTTGCTATCTTTCCTTGCACAAACCTCAGAGCGCATCTTGGATATCATAAAGCAATTTGATTTTCAAAACATCGGTAAAGCATTTGAATTTTTGTATGTGACAACAGGAGTTCTTGAGGGACTTTCTGAGGGATCTCATTGTCAGCAGTTGCTTTCAATTTTTAACTACTTGGAGCTTCAGGCCCAATCCCTGATGTCTACTGAGGGCCCAGAACTGGAAGTGATCCCTGCTACATTGACAGGCCTCAAACAGCTGTTCTTGGTAGACAAAGATTTCCGTATTTCCTTCTTTCAATACATGAGCCAACTCTTCAACGAATCAGTCAAAGCCCCATTGGGCAATGAATGCTTTGCCTTGGATAATAAGAACATCTCTTCTGTGAATTACTCAAAAGATAGAGGGTCTTCATTTATTCTTCCATGGACACAAATTCTTTCCAACCTCTCAGCGGATGGCAGGACGTTCAATGAGTTCATGGCTGTTCACTGTACGGTCTCATGGCTTCAGATGTGGACTGAAATCTGGGGAGGCGTATCTCTTCTCTTCCAGCTTGACATGAATGTTTTCACTCCTCTCCATGTTGGTCTCACTCAGCTTCTGGATGAATTGGAAAGTGATGTGAGAATTTCTGAAAGCTGCCAGGGAATGTTTCCCACCCATCGCCCTGCCAGACTCCTATTGGATTTGTTTAAAAATGTAACTCAAGCTGATGGCTTTCACGATTGGGATGATTTTTTGACTCTCAGAGACCTCTGGGTAGTATTGGGTGATGCATTAGTTGGGGTAAAGTCACTTAGCCCCGAGCAGGTAAGGAAAGCCCTTTTTACCATGGAAACTGCCCTGCATCAGCTAAACACATTTCCGTTAAACACAAATGCAAGCAGAGAGTTTTTCTATTCTCTGCTTGACGTTTTCGTGGAATTGAGCAACACCTCAGCATACATCGACAGAAACGTACAACTGATAAATCACTTTCTTACAAATAACATTACAAATTATGGAGTGCGGCGTGACAGTGTCCTCACTGAGCTAAGAGAAGCAATGTTATTGCTTCTAAATGTGTCACATGACCAAGATTTATTGTCCTGTGCCGGGATTTTCCAAAATGTTACCGAGTTTATTTTGGAAGATGGTTTATACGTAAATACGTCACAGAAGACATTACGTATTCTGGCCATGTTAAATTCCACATTTTCCTCCGAGGACACGATTAGCAAACTGAAGGGATGCGTCACATGGATAGACATCACGAACCACCTGTACGTGATGTACAACTCCAGTGTTGCACACGACTACCTTCAGGGTAACCGGAGGAGTTTCAGAGACGTGGGAGACAAAATTAATTCTACACTGAAACTTGCTGCTTGGATTCTCGGTATGAAGGGACCTCACTGCACACTGAATAAGTCAGATACAAATTGTGTGAATATTGTATTGAAAAATGTAACCGACTTTCTGAATGTCATACTCACCGAAGTCTTTGAAAGGGAAAAGGTACCCAAATTTGAGATCTTGCTAACCCTTTTCAATAATTCCACAAACCAAGTAAGGATGGTTATCAACAACCTGACGAGAGACTTTGATTTTGTATCTCAATCCAACTGGACGCGTCTTACTGAATTAATTCTAAGACCCCTAGAGTTGTCAGATGACATACCTAGCCAGTTTACAAATCTTTGGTTGCATTTAGTAGCTCTGGGGAAGGAAATTCAGAAACTTATGAAAGGTATTTCCACTCACCTCCGAGAAAATGACTTCTCTTCTACATCTGAAAAGTATCTAAACCTATTTGCTACCAGTTCAAAAGAAAAGGATGTCAACAGTTTAGGCCATTCCTTTTATCATCTAGCCAGCTACCTTCTCTTCAACCTGTCTCATGATCTCCAAAATCCACCACCAGTAATGCCCCACAAAATCATGAATGCTGTAGGTCTTGCCATCCAACTGATTCGGGATGTGTTCAACTCCCTGGTGCCCTCAGTTCTTCACAATATTCCACAAGATCTGGGTGATATTCAAGTTTTCAAGAAGGTAGCGTCTCTCCTGCGCACTCTCAAGAAGACAGACATAGACCTGTTGGTCGACCAACTTGAGCAAATGAGCGAAAGCCTAACGGATTTCTTTAAGAATATCAGTAGCTTAGGTACCCACAATCTGGGGGCCAACCTGCTTGTAGGCTTGGTGGAAAAATTTGTAGACAGCTCACATTCTTGGAATGTCAATCATCTGCTGAAGTTCTCACGCTTGTTCCCTAAGGATGATGTGAATGTCGTGATAGACGTGTACTACATGCTTCCCCATGCTGTAAGGCTCCTGCAGAGGGGAGTTGATAAAAACATCACAGAACTCCTCAAGGATGTCTATAACTTCACGCTCCTTCATGGCATAAGCATTTCCAATGTCACCAAGGAAGACTTTGCTAACATGATAAAAACTCTTTTGGACACAATTGAATTAATAGCGGAGAAACCAGGAATTCTTTCCGAGGCTTTCACTTGCCTTCCTGTGGTTTGGTGCTGGAATCACACAACTTCTGGGTTTCAGCAGAATCCAAAGTTAGAAGGCTGTAAATCCCATGAGCTCATGCCATCTTCCTTTTATACCAAAGTGGCCAGCCTGCTCGACTACCTCCACGTCTCTCTCCCAGGTGAAGGTTTACAATGTTTGGACAAAGGTTCACAGAAGGAGATTACGAGGAAGATGGTCTGTGTAATTCGTGAACTAGTGGACTGGAATTCCATTCTTCTGGAGCTTTCCGAAGTCTTCCATGTTAAAATTTCGCTTGTGAAAACCATGCAGGAATTTTGGCATAAAGTGTTACCATTTGTCCCGTCTTTTGAAAATCAAAGCAATGGTAGCATCTCTGAACTTTGTCCCAGTGGCCCCATAAGGCAAATTGTTTCGCAAATCATAGCAAAATTAAAAAATGTTAACTTTACAAAAATTCCATCAGATGAACACATTCTTGATACACTAGCTAGTTTAAGCAAGATCCTTAACCTTAGTGAAGGCACAGAGGCATCTGTTCGAAATAAGATTTCCTTGAATTTTGAAAAGATCATGAAGTTGCCTTCTGGGGATCAGCACCTAGAAAAGAGCCCCCATTCTCTAGAACCTCCATCTGAGACATTTCTCGATGTGAACCTGACAGGCAGTAGTTTAGAAGCACCATCAAGTTTTACTAAAAAAAGAGAAAAAACTTTCCACTCTTCTTACTTTGAGGATCTAGGGATGGAGCTTGAAGAAATCATGGCCAATCTAAGCCACAACTTTCCTATCAAACCCCAGCTTTCTGAAATTATCAGAGAAATTCAGATGCTTAATTCAGAGACTCTTCAAAATGTAACTTTGCAACTTGCCCATTTTTTCGAAAGCCTGGGCTCATCGTCATTGAGGATATCAGAAGTCGTTGAAGATTTTCTGTTGGTCGTAAAAACCTGGCTTCGTAAATGGGCAAAGGAAGATGATTCTGGAATGATTCAAACATTATTTCTTCTTATGGCCAATGAGAGCTCAACTGATGATCTAGCTTTGTTGACCAACAAAGATATTGCTACCTTTTGGGGGCTTCTTAAAACCATTTCTAGGGAAGGTAATTCTGATGTTGCCCATCTTATGCAACTGCTAAGCCAAGAACAGCTGACTAATTTCTCACTTGTTCAATTCCTTTTTGAAAGTTTCCTAATTAATTCAATCAGTAATTTAACTGGGAGGTCTCCAGAGGCAGCCTCAAATTCAAGTGATAGTGACCTTCACATAATGAATTTTGTTAAGCTCACCTTGAACCGGACACAGTCAGAAAATGGTGAGAAAATAATCCTTCCTCCGAGAAGCGTAGTGGATTTCATGGAACAGGTTTTGAAAACATTCTTCTCATTTTTGCTAGAGGAAAATTCTGAGAACAGAATATCTCTTCTGCTAAAGGCCTTCCACAAAGACATCATTGCAGAGTTGAGGTAAGTCTACTTTTTTTTCTTAAGATTTATTTATTTCTTTGAGAGAGGGAGAGAGAGAAAATGTTTGGGGTGGTGGAGAAGGGGCAGACGGAGAAGGAGAGAGACTCCAATAGACTCTGTGCAGAGCACAGACCCTGATGGGCTCAATCCCATGACCCTGAGATCATGACCTGAGCTGAAATCAAGAGTGGGACGCTTAACAGACTGTGCTAGCCAGGTGCCCTGAGACTTTTCTTTTCTTTTCTTTCTTTCTTTCTCTCTCTCTTTCTTTCTTTCTTTCTTTCTTTCTTTCTTTCTTTCTTTCTTTCTTTTTTTGTATAGTAAGTGAGGTTGTTGTATGTTACAATTGATTTTTATTTCCTGGAGCGTATAAACATCAGTAACAGCACTTCTGTACCCATCACCCTTGGATGATCTTCGAAGGGAATTTTGTCTCAATGGAGATTTCATTAAAATATCATGGTGAAATAATTTTGATGATTGTCATCTAAGTAGTAAACACGTACAGAAACCTAGCCCCTGGCGATTAATCACTTATGCTCTCTTACGTTCTCGGGTTATGCAAATAGTTACGAAGTTCTATTTTATATGGAACTTAAACATTAGTTAGTTGGGTTTTTTTTTTTGAGATTATTTATTTGCTTATTTGACAGAGAGAGAGAGAGAGAGGAAGGGAGACGGAGGGAGAGAGCAAGCACAAGCTGGGGGAATGGCAGGCAAGGGGAGAAGCAGCAGACTCCCTGCTGAGCAAGGACCCAGACACAGGACTCGATCCCAGGACCCCGGAATCAAGAGCTGAGCCAAAGGCAGATGCTTCACTGCCTGAGCCGCCCAGGCACTCCCAGCATTAGTTTTTATGTATGTATATGCATACGCTTTGTCACTATTTGAAGTGATGTAGTCACTGTCTCATCACCAGTGAGATGTTCAAATATTTTTATTCCAGTTAATCTAACATTTTATAACTGATGGTCACATTATGTTTCTCTCATATTTATTTTTTTTCCTTCTATTGGAAGCTTGCTAGTGAGAAGGCAGGAGGGATACTCCAGTTCAGCCTTGCATGTGTGTATCAGTCAGGGCCCGGCCCCTGACGTAGAACCAGTACAAGGATTTAATTCAAAGAACGGGTTCGTCTGCTTGTGAGCACTGGCTAAGCAGGCTGTGCGGAGGGCGCGCTTCCACAGGAGACCGTTGTGGGGGGCAGGGTGATTGGAGAGAAGAGCAGTTGCTGTCTGGGGTTGCGAGGTCAGGGAAGTTTGAAGCCCGCTCTGAAGGCCCTTCAACTGATGAAGTCTGGCCCACCCAGGACAAAATCCCGTCTTCCCATGTCCGAGTTTACTCATCAGGGGCGTTAATCACTCCTGCACAGTCGCTTCCCAGCAGCACCTGGGTTAGTGTTTATGCTGCACACTGGCTACTGACTTCCCTTCATCCTCCACTCTCCTGAGGGAATCCACTGAGATGAACATTAGTTAGTTAGTTAGGGGGTGGGCTGTCACTCAGCCTCGCCTCACTGACGCAGTACAGAGCCATCACCCATCTGAGCGAGTTGCTGGGACTTCGAACTTTCAGAAGGGTGTTCCCTCTTGCAGTGAGAAACAATTTATATAGATTTCACCTTCCTCCGGTTTTAGAAAAGCTGGAAGTCTGTGGCTTTTGAAGCGTTTAGGTCGGAGGGATCGCAATGGGGTTCTCTGTGAAATTCCTCCACCCTTCTCATTATTCGGCGCCAAAATATTAATTTTCATCTGGAATGTGTGTTAGCGTGTCATCTTGTAGTCAGGGTGATTCCCCCATGGTGCTACTGTGACACAAACATAGGCCTCTAGGTTCTGATCCTTCCACTGATAAACATGAAATTCAAAAATGTTTATTTGCAGTTTTGTCCCAAGGGATAAAATCCTAGAAATTCTGACACTGGATCAATTTCTTACTGCCTCAAAAGAAGACAGACTGATGAGCATTTTCTCAAGTTTAAAGGAGACTCTAAATCATCTAGTCAAAAGTTCATTTATTTTAGACAATGGACAATTTCATTTCGATCATCATCGAGGACTGAAGTTCATGAGAGATTTATTTAATGCTCTTCTAAGGGAAACCCCAGGGAAAAATAAGACTGAAAATAATTCGGAGTTTCTTGCGGCCGTGAGTCAGTTGCTTTTCCACACGAACAGCTCTGAGGATCTCCTCCATCTCAGTCACAATCTTAGGTCATCTCTCCAGCTTGTGAGAGAAAGTTCTACAGAGATAGCACGTCTCCTGGACGTGCTTGTACACTCTCCTCACGAGGGTTTCCGTGACTTGTATCCTACACTCCGAGAAGTTATACTTTCCAATCTAACTAGTTTGCTTTCCTTCATAAATAATTCATTCCCTCTAAGAAACAGGGCAACATTAGACATTACCAAGAGATTGCTTGGTGTTATCTCAAGAGCTGGTGGAGAAAGTGATGCCCCAGAACCTCTCTTGGAGATGTCTGATACCCTGACCATGCTGGTGAGGGACACTGCTGAGATGAGAGACCTTGCCACCTCGGTGACCTCCGCTGTGGAGCTTCTCGGGCTAGCCACAAGAGTTGCCCGGAAGGTGGCCACCATATTTGAAACTCATTCCATCCCCAATACCACTGATGCTATGAAATTCTTTGACAGTCTCTATACTGTTTTGCGACAAAGTGTTCGAAATGTTGTGAGAAAAATAGGTACTTTGAAGAATGTAGACCATTTCACATCAGAAAATAGAAGCAACTTGTTGACACCATTTCTTGACTTGGCTTTTGGGATGATTGGGGTCAAACCTAATATTTTGCAAGACTCTGATGTTAACATGTCTGCAAGCACATTCTCATATATGAACCAGTCCAAGGACTTTTCTGATATTTTGAAAGAAATCACTGAATTTTTAACTTCTCTGAAAAGCAGTTTGGGAGACATGGAGCATCTTGTGGTAGCTTTTAATAATGGGACCCAAATATTTGCGATGGATTCACTCAGCGTATGGGAAGAAGTTTTGGATTGCTTAGTTCCTATAAATAATATCATCAACCAGATAGACTTCTTACATCCTAATCCACTTCCCAATGATAGTTACCCTCAAGATACAACGTGGGAAAGAACCCAGGAAGTGATCCTGTTTTTGGATGAAATGCTATCACAAGACATCATCGGAATTGGGACTTATTTAAGAAGGATGATTGATCTCACCTTGGAAGCTCTTTGGAGTGACTTAGAGAAGGATGACTGGCATGTCTCTAATCTGTGGCTGGCATTTGCTCAGCATCCAGATAACCTTTTGAAAGCCATAGAAACAGCTGGGGAGGTCTCCGGTGGAAGAGGTGGCCCAAGTGGACCTTTGTTTTCCAACATGTCTCTGATTCAGAATGTAACTCATCAACAGCTTAAAGAAGCAGTCCAGATCGTGTTAAAGAGAATGGCTCTCTTGAGGAAGGAACTTCCCCTAGATAACTCTCAGTGGATAAATGCCACGAGAACTTTGTTCCAGCCCATTTTTGAGAGTCTTGTTCATGTAGCCACTGGGAAGAAGATCACATTGGAAAAAGGAGAGAGGACCAAAAAGGTGGTGGCTGGTTTTCCTTCCATCCTTCAGCTGTCATCAAATTTCGAGCAATTCCTGAAGGGATTAATCGCTTTGATTGAGTACTGGCAAGAGGTCCCATTGATGGACCAAAGGTAATGAAACCCCCAACTCACTTCCTTTTTGCTCCCTTGCAGTAACTGCAAAACAGGACCCTGCAGGAATGGCCTGGAACCAGGTAAGGTATGGTTCTGGACTTCATCTCGATTGCACACTGGAGTCAGTTCCGACATCCAGTGACTCGAGTCTGGTGTCTTCGTGACTTGACTTGTGATTTGGCATTCCCATATGTTTTGGATTTATCCAGCGGTGTTTGACAGTACATTATTCCTTTTTCCAAAAGTAAAAACTTCGTTCTCTTCTCTTCACTTGTCCAGAGCTAAGTGCATACACAGTTTTTCTGTTTCTATCCTCTGGCTGCCAAAGATCTCTCTGTTTGGTAGACAGGTAAGAGTGTAAGACTATATGCAGTCCATGCAGAGAACTGTGCTTTCAGCTGTAACCACCACTGGGAAGGGACAGGCAGCTCTTGGTTTCTTTTCTCTTTAAAGATTTTACATTATCTCTGCACCCAACATGGGGCTCAAACTTACAACCCCGTGATCCAGAGTCATGCACTCTACCGACAGCCAGCCAGGCGCCCCAGCTTTCTCCCTCTTTAGGTTCAGCCCAACGCTGTGGTTGATCCAGCTCCAAGCTCTGCCCCCATGTCTGAGAGACAGGTGAGGGGAGCCCTGTTCTGATCCTGTCACTCATCGTGTTCTGGAAGTTTCTACTGCTTCAGGTTGGAGGATTTGTGTCCTGGGTGTGCAGAGTCTCTGAGACACTGCTCTGTCCCAATCCTTCCTTCTTGTGTGTGACAGTACCTTTGGATGGCCTGTGGTCCCTGCCTGCTCCTACCTTTCTCTTCATCCCACGGGGAGACTGGAGGTGCCACCAAACCCTCACTCATCTGCCAGAGAGTTTGACTTGTTTTCTGCTGGTTCTGTTGCAATAGGGCAGTGCCTCGATCCAGCCGTTTTTTATAACTTGGCAGGATTTCCTCGGTAGTGAGACAAGGGTCTCCTGGCTTGAAGAACTATCACTCCTTTGACATTTGCATGCTGCCTTCCAGAGCTTCTCGCTTCACCTCTGCACTGCCTCTGATCCCACTCCCCACTGTGTGGGACAGTACACTCTGCTCTGAGTTTCCGAGTGAGCTGGAGGCGGTCTTGGCAACATGTATACTCCATCAACACCAGTTTTCATCAGATGTTTCTGGTTCTCCGGGGAGGGCATTTATACCGTCCACCAAGGGTAGGAACGAATGGGCTGTGGACTGGCTGTGTGGCCGACACCTGGTCACTAAGCTCACAAGGCTACGTTCCCTGTGTCCTCTGCTTAGCGATTACTTGCTTTCCTTCTCCCTCTGTTTTCACTCTACTTATCATCGGCTTCTTCCATGGGGAAGACGCAGAATGTCCCCAGTCGGCCATCAGATTGCTCATGGGTTTGAGGTCTGATGGAGCCCTTCTCTCTGCGGCGGGAGCTTGTGGGGCCAGCAGCTCACGTGAGAGCAGGTGCCCTGGCCCATCTCCTACCTGCCTACCGAGGGCCCACGGTCTACCAAGATGCCCAGGTGATTTGTGAGTATGCTCTAGGCTTTCAAACACCACATTCCTCATACTGGGGGCTGGGAAGCCCAGATTTAGAGCAGTTCGATGTCTTACCCAATACAACACACCCACATCATGAGGGAGATGGTGGCCTTTGGTGTCTGTACAGAAAATGAAATCATGTTCCTTTTGCTTCCAGGTCCGTGATCTTTTAGGCACAACTAAATTGTAATAATTAAAATCCCACAATTTACCAAAGTATGCACTACCCGATGGTGACCATTACACAGCTCTACACACCATCATGTTTGATTTGGCCCAGAAATGACAATGATAAATGTTTGTCTTTCTGTGGCACTAAAACCCAATTCAGGAATAACTATTTCCTGCCCCCAAAATATCCACCAATTCCACTCTATTTTTATTATACCTAAAAATAAAACCTCTCCATTTTGTTCTCTATTTTAGAGCAGCCCACTGCCCTTGAATCTGGCTTCCCGAGAGGATTCTGTATTATTTTGCCTTACCTTCAAAAGCATCAAACAATGTCAGATCCTCTTGAATCTGCAATTACCTGGTATAACTGTGAAGAAACCCCACCTCTTTTTTTTTAAATTTATTCATTTATTTGAAAGAGAGTGCACAGGAGGGAAGGGTGGGGGGGGAAGAGAGAATCTTAAGCAGACTCCACACTGGTCATGGAGTCTGATGCAGGGCTCGATCTTGAGACCCTGAGATCCTGACCTGAGCTGAAACCAAGAATCAGACGCTCAACCAACTGAGCCACCCAGGAGCCCCAAAACCCCAGTTTTTATTCACCTCAAGGATGCCCACACCCCAGGCAATAGGGCACAGAATCAGTAAACTCATTCTCGTCCCGATAAATATACACACACCACCCCCACGCTGAACCTTCCACATTAACATGTGATAACCATGTTCTCTAAGGACTGGTGGGATTCCCAACCACGGACAAACAATACCCTGTCTGGAGAACATCCACGTTTGCCAGGACAGGTGGTGGTCCCTGGTCCCATTAGGTGTGTTGAAGCAAGTGGCTCTTTGGCCGTTCGGAGTCAGCTCCAAAAAGCAGGATGGATTTTAAACTTTTTATTTTTTCCAGAAGGTTTCATTCCTTGGGGAAAGTAAATTTAAAACAGCACACTGTAGGAACATTGCCTTGCATTTAAACATGCAAACAAACCCTGTTCTGGTGGTCACAGTGTTCTGGAGAATTCCTAGTGAAGCGTGGACTCAGGCTTGTGATGTCGCCATGTCGGTCCCCTCGGCGTGCGTGCACTTGACTTAACCCGGTTGACTCAACACTGAGTTTCCAGAAGCCGAGAGGCTTGTCGATCTCCAGGCCTCAGCAAGGATGTTCCTTTTCAAGGAATTTTGGGGAATTTCCTTGGGTAGTTGTACCGTTCATTGGTCGATGTGACCCAGTGTCCAAAAAAAAAAAAAAAAAAAAGAGAGAGAAAAGAAAAAAAGAATATACACACACTTGGATAAACTCCTTGGCAGGTGCTTCACAGGTCCTATTACTTACATACTCAGTTCTGTCAGACGTTGAGGATAATTTTGAGTTTTGAAACAGTGTCGGCTCATTTAAGTGTGACACAAAAGCCATTCAGGGTTCAAGAAAAAATTCCCGAGCCCTTTTGGCCAGCAGCGTGATGGCAGAGCTGAGCACGAGCCCCCGCTGTGTGGGGGCTCTCAGCCCGTCCAGAACCGCCGCCGTGGTGGGCCAGCCCTCAGCAGCCGCCTCCATGACCCTCTGCAGAAGTAACGGGCTGTGACTGACGAGTTCTGGGAACTACATGGCATAGCTGGGGTCACAAAATGAGGCCACAGATAGAAAAGAGTGCCGGCTGGGGGTTCTGCCTTCCTTGGGGCCGAGGGTGGGAACCTAAGGTTTTCTAGGCTCTTTCTCTCTATTGGTGAGTTTAAAGCCTAAGAGAAGGCACTTCAAGTGCAAGAAGAGGAAAAGTGATGGGTGGGAACGGGCAGTTATCAAAGTCAACCAGGATCTTTCAAACAGAGGCGCCTCTGTGGGGTGTGGCTGGTAATGCGTGGTTTTGAGATACCTTCGAAATGCATGCATTTGCCACTAAAGTTTGCACTGGGCACTTGCTTTACAAAAGGAAAAACCAGCCTTTAGGACTTTACAGCATTACTGCTTAGTAAAACAGTGGTCTGGACGCCGTTATCCCAACACCACCATTGGACCCCATGAAGACCAACACACACGCAAACACACGCACACACACGCATGCAAACACACACACACACGCATGCACGATACACCCATTTTGCTAAAAGATAAGAAACTTACATACTAATTCATCCACTGCTGTGAATTCTCTGTACATAAATAGTAAACCATAAGATTTCTCTCTACTGGCTTTCTCCACTCCCTTTCTCCCACCCTTGGCCCCAAGGAAGGCAGAACCTTTGCTTTTGAGAACGGATCAAGGCAAGGAAAGGGCAGATAGCTGGCTTCCTGGCCCCGGAACTGATGCTTCCAGAGCGGGGGGCCCAGTGTTTCTGAGAGGTCTGGATGGCCACCTGTGTGTCTGGGGTCTGTTGTGGAGGAGGACAGTGACGACTTTCTGTGTACAGCAGGGATGCACACGGCTTGCCGATTTTCTCCCTCTCATGCCATTGTCTGTTTTTTCCCTTAGCGTGGAAATGTGTCAAATTTTCCAGCAGCTTCAGAACCCCCCGGAAGCCATCGTGATCCTGCAGAAAGTGGCGGTGCTGGCTCTCCGTGTGTTCAGCATCTTTGCAGGTGGGCTCTGCATGTGACAAGGGCCGCATGTCGTCCCGTGCGGGCTTCCAGGGACCGGCTCTCCCAGGGATGGGAAGATTACCCCTGACTTTCTCTTAGAGGCCTGTGCAGCCTTCTTAGCCCCTGAGCTGGGCTTTGGTCTGTGTCTTTGCTCCTGGCACGCGCGTCCTTGTCTCCCCAACCTGAACTCCAGCTGGACTCTGTGACTCAGAGCGGGGGGCAGCTCTTCTAGAAGGACAACCTCCTTCTTTCTCTGCCGGCAGGGATGCTGAGCAGACCTCTGTTAAACGCAACTGTAATGCCGTAGCTTCCACGCCTCCCTCTCCTAGAGTCGGTGCTGTTAGGCCTGAGGGTGCAGAGACAGTGGGTGCGGGGGCAGTGGGTGCGGAGACAGTGGGTGCAGAGATAGTGGGTGCGGGGACAGTGGGTGCAGAGA